TATATATATATATATATATATATATATATATATCAAAATTAAATTGAAAAGTTGTGCAACTTCGTTTGAAAACTCTTAAGACTTGAGGGCTAAGCTCTTTGTTAGGATTCCTCATGGTTTTTGTCCAAGCTCTCGATCATTAAATTTCTATAAGATCATCGCTTGGATCCTTCACCCACTTCGGGAACTAAATTATAATTTCAGCTAACTTTCAACCACAGAGACTGTCATAACTTCCCTTGAATGTTATGGCTTCAACTAACTTCATTACTATGGCTAGTGTTATCCCATCTCTTATCACCAGAATCATCATAGAACAAAAATTCACCACTCTATTAACTCACAAACAATGCAAGCAAGCAATTTTTAGTGGATGAAAATAAAGATTCAACCAAATCAATATATCTGCAAAGTAACCAAAAGACGAAACAAAACGAATTTGCTTACCACATTGCTAAAAGATAAGAACAAAAACATAGTAAAATTGCAAAACTTCATCACAATTCATAAGCCAACGAAGAATTGTTATTTTATTTCCCAGTGGAAAGAATGATAAACAAGAAAAGAACAAACAAGGAAGACCACGAGTACGCCAAAAACAACCACAACTTAAAACCTCCATTAAACCATAATAAAAATCCTAGAAAAATTCAAATACCCACTAAGGAAAAAAAGAATGAATGCAATGAACAAGCCAAAAACATCAAAAAAGCCTTAAAAGTTTAAGACCCCATTAACCCAGATTAACAAAAAAAATCCCCTAAACATAAGATAAAGAGAAATAGAGAAAAAAAAAACAACAAGGAAAAGCAAATCCATGCAACGAAACAAACCCAAAGAATTCACCACAATGCAAAAGAAATAATGACAAATGCAAAATGGCTTTTTGGGGGAAAAGAAAAACCTGAGGAGAAGAAGAGTCGTTATCATCATTGGAAACACGAGGGTCAATGGAAAGAATAACTTTGGCAACAGCTTGAGGCGTAGGAGGAGAAGAAGAAGTGGGAATGGAAGAGGGCCTGGGGTTCTTGAAAGAGCGTGAAACCAATGCAGGGCACTTCATTAACCACATTGATCTTTCAGCTTTGCTTGTTTCTAGATAGCTATCCTTGTTTTCCATGGATGTAAGGGAAAAGGCAAGGGAAAGGAAAAGGAGGGAAAGAGAGGAGGGAATGGAAAGGGCAAAGAAACTGTCGCTTATTTTTGTTTAACAAACTTATTATCACTGAGGCAGGGTTTATATAGGGAGTTGGACTGGGAAGATCTTTTGATCCTATTTTTTTTTTCTTTTACTTTTTTTCTTGAATAATAAATAAAATAAATAGATAAAACTGTTATGTCATTTAACTTTTTAAATTCTTATAAATGTTTGATTTTGCATAAATCCCTTTAATAATTTAAGAAATTTACAATAATAAGGGCATTATTAAATTTAAAATTGAGGATATTTATATTTAAGAAAATGATAGAAATAGAATGTCATGCTTGGGTTAATCCACCATTTTAGTCCAAAGGAAATCAATGAAAGAAAATGTAAACACATTAGCAAATTGCAAGTAAACATTTTTGAGTGCTTGAAACCTGACAACAATGTCTGTTCTTTGAATGTTGATCAACAAAGAAGAAAATGTTGACAGCTTTAGGCTTAGACAGCAAATCCCCATCCTTCCTGATTAATTTAATTCGAAAATATATATACTTTCAAGAATAATAGAACAAATTAATGTAAGTTAATGAATTTTTAAGACTGTAAGCTATAATTAAGGTCATTTGACTCATTTCTTGTAGCCCAAACACAATCATTGGTCTTCTGGTTAAGCCTGAAACTCTTCTCCTGTATAAAAGTAATTCAATAACACAAATGGTATTGGCTTTCATGGATGCAACGTTGGACTGCCTTGCTTTCTTATTTGGGTAGGCTAAATGCAGAAAAGCCTAACTTAGATTGAATATGGCAGTTCATTCCAATCAAGTAACATGTCTAAAAATAGAAAGTTATATCCATACAAGGAAATCCACCAGCTAAAGAAAATTTTCTTATAATACAATAATTGCTGAGAGGATGATTCTTATTACACTCAAGATATCAAAATGTGAACGGCCATCTTCTGTGACTTCTCTCGACAAGAAGAGACAAAAGGCGGTATAATCATAAGACCATAATCACAAAATGCGTTCAGAGTTGGTTAAATATGTTTACATTTAAACTGCTACAGTATCAGAGCTGTTTCCTCCTGTGGAGCTCTGCTTCCTCTCTGCTTGAAGTGATCGGCACAACGATTCAAGTTTTTCCTTCTGGTTCTTTGTCTTCTCCAATTGTTTTTTCAATCTCTCACGCTGCTCGAGCAAAGACAAAAGTAAGTGCTAGATACCCCTCTTTCATGATATATATAATAATTCTAAAGAATGAAAGCTTAAAATGACATGTCAACCTATACCTCTTCCACAAGTTCTATGAGAGTAACATCTGATTTGTCACATTTGCTCTTCAAGAATACATTTTCCTTCTTGAGTTCCTTGATTGATTTTGCCATCTAATTTTTAATATACATGGGAAACAAATTGTTGGTAACTTGAACAGAAGACTAAATGCAACCAGAAATCGTAAAGTGGAGCAATCGGAAAAGCCAAAAAAGTAGTGCTTTGAGGAAAATGTTCCTCTCAAAGATAATAGGCACATGTACCTTTTCAATCTCCTGCTTAAATGTTTCAAAAACCTCATTGCTCTTTAACAAAGCATCCTGCAAAATAAAGTAGAAGTTTAAACATCATGAAGTTGACAAGATAGGTTAAAATATCAATGGGCATTAACAAAAGACATGGAAGTACTAATCGGCCTTCAGCACTGCTGCATCTCAGAAGTCATGCAGAGGATGTCAGATGAGTGAAGTGCATTCAATAGAAAAGGTCCAAGCACATCCAAAGGAAAACACCTCAAACATGGAGACAGGTCACTTCTTACTCACCTAGAAAGGTATAACAAAAGCATCCCACTACTATTCTGTCAATAATAGCACTTCAGGTAAACCTTCACTACTTTTCTGTCAACAATAGCACTTAGATTGTAGCCTTTTACTAACTTATGATACTATAATTTCAGCATTATGCAGGTGACAAAAAACCTTCCAATTAGTATAAAAAATAAGAGAAAACGACCTAATAACTGATGGATCCTGTGTCCAGGCATCCAAGGCATATAATACAAGCACTCAAAATGCAGAATAATCTATTCATCAACCTAAAAGAGAAAAGCTGCCAACAAAACCAAGTTCATAAATGACATGGAAAGAATTCGACCTGAAACTGTTGGAATTTTTCTCCATCAGCCGTCAACTGCAAGCGTAAATTCTTTTCAGTCGCCAATAACTGTGACACTTGCTCTGCATATACTTTCATCTGTGCTTGTTCCTGGATCAATTTCTCTTCATGTTGTTTAATTTTCAAATCAGAAATCTGTAACTCTAGTGTTTTCTGCTTTAGCTGTGTTTCAAATATCCAAAATATAGAAGTAAGCGCACAGTCCTTGACAATAGACTTGATTAGCATTTGAAGTTAGAAAACCTTAGCTACCAGGAATTCTAACCTATACCTTCTGTGCATATTGTTGTTCAGAGAGGGCATACTGATCAGCGAGCTGCTTCAACTTATTTCTTAACCTATACATGAGTCCAAAACATATTATAATGAAAAGGATGGCACCAAAACAATCTGTTAAATCAATAAACAATAGGGTGATGGTGATGCTTTCCCAGATGGGCAATTTTTTTTTGAAAATTTACGAACCATCCAATATATCCAAAACTTCTAATCTAGAAAGAACAGAGGCCCACATTAAAAGATTCTCATTTTGGTAAAACCCCAAAGGACAAGAATGTGGCCCAGATATAATTTGGCAGCTTTTAATGTATAGATGTGACCCAGCTCAAAGGGAACAAAAGTATAATAATTACACATGCATTCCCTGTCTCTTACATCTCATTCTCCTTCAGTTGAGATAGACATTCATCCTTTTGCTCTTCCAGCTTAATGCTCACATCCTATATGAGGAAAAAAAGATCAAGAAACTAATATTAAATTAGGTAACAAATGAAAAGAAAAACTAAAGTATGGCTATTAAAATTAAAATTTCCAGAAAGTGATCTAGAAAGTTGATGAAGCATTTACATTTTGTACATGCCAAAAATGAAGAGTCAGAAGAATAGACACACAACAGAGAGAGAGAGAGGAGGCCGGGTGGAAGGGAGTCAATTCAAAGAGCAGAGATATGGCAGAACTAGAATATTCAACTATATAATTATTGTACATCTAGAGTGATACATAAAATAGAAAATCATATGAATTATTCATCTACCACAATATTTAGTTTACTTCAACTAATAGAATTGCAATGCTCTGCTGATAATGATGAGCGATGACTCACTTCACTTTACCATCTCTCTTGCTTTTGACGAATCATCTCCACTGACCTATGGTACATGCATTTTAATCATGTAACCCCAAGTTTTGGGATCAATCATGCTTACTGGAAGAGTTGTATCACAAATTTCCTCTAATTATAGCTAAAACTGAGTGGCTGTGACAAAGTTTGGCCTCTATTCCCACGAAGTAACATAACTAGAGACAGCTGGGCTAGTCAGTACGCAAGTCAGCCCATCCACCATGATAACTTTCAAAATTGAAACAGGGAAATCAAACCTTGATTGCATCTTGGAACCTGGCTGATAAATCTAATCTTAAGTTTTGCCCTTCTGTTGATACCCGTTTGCATTCATCCTGTGACATCATGAGCAAGCCATCAGCACCTTCATAAAAGAAAGTGAGACAAATAAGCATCACTTTTTGTGTCAACGATGCAAACTATAATCAAGAGAGTTGAAGATTTTACACAGATCATGATCAGATTATGACAATCACTAATCTCTTTAATAAGCCAAAATGTTGAACATACATTACAAAAAGTCAAAATAAAGGAAAGTTTCTTTGCCTATTAATTAAATTTGTTATGGAGATCCACCATTAACTTGATCATGTATATTCATTAAATGGAAATTATTGAGTGAATGGCAGACACTTTTGAAAGAAACCAGAGGTTCACAAAAAGTTTAGCACAGCAAGTAATACTATAAAGTTAGTAAGAGCAACTTTACAAAGGAACCCAGTTAGATCTATTATTTAATCCATTTTATAGTTGGTTGGGTGAAATTCAGAAAATTCACAACCTGTGAGAGCCACAAGGACGCAGCTTGTGCTATAACACTCAGGATACCTAAAACCGTGACAAAATATTCTCCCATTCCTTTTAACCACCAGAAGGAATCCTATGCTTCTGCAATTTGGAGCTTACTCCAACCCCACCCCCTCTTCTTATACTCTCTCAGAAATTTTGGGTGCATGGTATCTTTGATGGCTAGGTAACCGACCCAAACGAGAAAAATAAGGATATGAATTTCAAGGCCAATTGCACTCATAACAAAATTCAAAGGTCAACATATGAAGCAGAAAGTGCATCAAGAACAAATACCAGCTGTGGAATGTAATTAATAAAACAGAGATCAAGTATCTAAAGAAAAACACATACCATTAACATTTTGTTTTGACGTTGTAACTCCCTACAAAGTGATTCAAGCTTATCTCGAACAGCAATAGCTATGAAACAGGGCAAAAAAGAAAAGATACAAAATTCAATCTTCCTTGATGTTCAAGATATATAGGGACATTATAGAATAAATCAATTAGTAATATGTGCCTCTTGGGTATTTATATATCATAAAAGACTTTCTAAACTCTAAGTATTCACCAATGGCTTCTAAATTCAGCTGGTCAAAGTTTCCAAGGAAATGAACATATCTGGTTAAGACTAAACTCAAACGACTTTTCTCCTCTTTACAATAAAAGAAGAAAAGAACCTGTAATTTTAAACTGTCACAGAAGTTATGCAGAATGTTAAAATCAATTGGAAGTCCTTTAAGGCAACAGTACTGCACTACGGCAAGATGGTTAAAGTCCTTCTGGAGAGATCATAGCAATAGTTATCTCCAATCACATTCCAAGGGAAACCAAAGTGACCAATAGAACTAACTGTTTTCATTTTTGTTCTTTGGTGCTCACATATTAACTAAAGAGAGAAATCATATCCAGTAATTTTCTTTTTTCAATTTCTGACACCAAACATTCAGAAACTGCATGTTAGTTCTAATTAGTTGTTTAACAAGAGCAGATTCACTTGGTAAAATGTGATATACAATGCTGGAACTGAGCTATAGCATTTGGCTGGACAAGTATCACTCTTCGCAACATAAAAATTATCTTCACATCAAAACAAATCGGACTATTAAGATGAACTGAAAATTTTGAAAGAGTCTTAGGTAATTGGACCAATTATTGGACATCAAATTATGTTAGTTCTAATTAGTTGTTTAACAAGAGCAGATTCACTTAGTAAAATGTGATATACAATGCTGGAACTGAGCTTCCAGCGCGAGAGGAGGGAACAGCTCCCCCTTTAAGCTATAGCATTTGGCTGGACAAGTATCACTCTTTGCAACATAAAAATTATCTTCACATCAAAACAAATCGGAGTATTAAGATGAACTGAAAATTTTGAAAGAGTCTTAGGTAATTGGACCAATATATTCATCACATCAAATTATAGTAACCTTTTGGACATCATAAATGTTATTTCAACTTACCTGCATCTCTTTCTGCAAGAACTTGTTGATATTTCAAGGAGAACTCAAGAAATTCCTTTTCTGTTTTGACTGTACGTTTTGCATTCTTGCGTTTGGTTTCAGTGGTTTCCTGAGAAATAATAGCCCATGTAATTAAGACTGCAGTGAGTTCAATTTATTTAGATGAAACTGATGTAAAATAAGCATATGAAAGTACCTCAAAATAAACTGAACCTAATTCTACAGGCTGACTGAGACAATTTGTCAAATAGATTAACAAGGTGAACAGTCAAATGCTTAAAACTGCTTATCTCATGAATCTAACAAGTAAATTTTTCTCCTGGAATAATACATTATTTTAATCATCAGTAATTGATATAAAGATTATCATCCATCCAAGACTTTGACCTAGTGAAATATTACTAACACCCTATGGAGAAAAAAGGACAGAAAAGATGCTTTCCTTATAAATAACTATCAGCACTTTGAACCTTAGAAATAACCACTACTCAACTCATGCATTTATAATTCTCATACACGACCCTACCTACTAGCATTGGAATTTGAAAGAACAGTCAAGTACTATAATCTACTAACTGGTTTTTTATCTTTCACCAAATCGACACTTTCCGATGAAGATGTTTCCTTCAAATTAGTTTCTGATCCTCTTTCAACTGCTGCAAAAAACAACAACGAATGAGCACTAAAAAACCTAAAAACTACCCTGCATTTCATATGTGAAATTTTAAAAAATAAACAAACAAAACAAAATTTGAGAAACAAATTCGAAGTTCAGAAAAATTACTTCTCTCTGTACTTTGACACTCCCCTTTAACTTCTCCTTTCACCTCACTGCATTCTGCCTCCCCAACCGCAGCAGCCTCAGGAACAGAATTACTGGATTCATTACTGACTAACTTACCTTCTACAGAATCCAAAGACCCATCCAAACCATCCACTTCAGACAATGGCACAGGAAAAGTTCTCTGCTTTTGGCCCTTGCTTGCTCCAAACTCAGCGGAGACTAGATCATCTTCTCTATAGTCAGGCTGCAAAGGCTTTTCTTGTTCCAAAATTGGAGTTTTTGGATCCAACCGCTCTGAAGGACTCTCAACAAAGCCATCTGGCAGTGAATCCACTTCAGGAAGCTGATTTGCTTCTGGGTTTTCCATTTTCTACCCCAAAAACAAAAAAAGACAAACTCAATTTTAACCCTTATTAAACAAAAAAAAACAAAACCCAGATCAAAAAACATCTGAGTTTTCATTATAAATAGGTAAACGTTCAATCGTTATTATGCCAAGGTTTTATCAAGATTCCAACTTTTCAAACTAGGGGTCCAAAGGAAAAAAAGATGAAAAAAGAAATTAAATTCATTAACTTTAAAGGGCTGAAATAAGAGAGAGATTACCAGATATGAAGATGAAGAGAAGAAGAAACTAAAACCCTTTTAAGGTTTTGCCGTTTTGTTGATCTTTGCCTGTATTCCTTCACTGTTGCCTTTTTTTGTTTGTGTGTGGGTGTGTTGGAGTGAAAGTGAGAAGCTGCAAAGTTGAACTGATTTGTCTCTTGCCGTGGGGTTTTTTTTTTTTTATAATAAAGTAATTTTTTCTAGAAATTTTTAATTTTTTTTCTGAGGCTTGTATTTAAATATTTCTTTGGGTAATTATTATATAAAATATTGTTGCAGTAGTTTGATTTTTTTAAAAAAAATTAAACAATTTACATTTTTATAATAAATGTAAAAGTAACATTTATTTGGCTTCATTATTCATAATTTTTTAAAATATTTTTTAATCAAATGAAAAATTTTCTGCTTTGGAATTGTGGGCAATATATCTATGTTTAATTATTTATAAAAAAAATATACACTGTTCTTGCCTATGGACTTCATAAATAAATCCCATATTAAGAGCCAAAACTTCAAAGTAAAATAAGTTGATGTAACTCCAAATATTACAATTATTGTTTGGATCTTTTCCATAATCTCTTTTGGCTCATTTGAGCTTTGTTTTTTGTTAATATTTTTATTATTTGTTTATTTATTATTTTTATTTATTTAATTTAAAAATAAAAATACCAATCAAATGAAATGTTAAAGCTTCAAACCGTTAACTTTCGATCTAAAACTTTTAAAAATATTCAAATTTTGATCTCACCAACTTGATTTCAAAACAAAAAATTTACTACAAAACACTTGACATATTACAACTATAATCACAAACTTTTAAATTATAATAAATAGTTATAGTTTCTTTAAATATTTCAATTGAAGAAATCAAAACTTTTTTTTTTAAAAAAAAGGTTATTTAATTGAAATTTTATGATTATAATTAAACCACCTCAAGATTTCTTAATAATTCTAATCAAACCAAATGGTTTCTTCACAACTCTCACCTTCATTCTAACTTAAAGAGCATAAGTGGGAGGTTAGTGTTTCTCTATAACTTTCTCACTTCTTGTTTTGAGACTGCTCGAGATTTGACTAAAGTTCAACATGTGAGAATCTGAATAAAAAGGTTAAACTTCACAACAAGAAGTATCTTCAAAAATACCCTTGGAGGCCTTGGAAAACAAGTATCATACAACTAACAGCTACCAAAATTTTCCATACTCGTATACTGACGTGAACCACATGAGTAGATTCCCAGGTGCCTATACTAAGAGCGAAAGGATACGTACGCATTTTTCCATAAATACCCTTTGTCGGACACTTAACTGCCACGTCATAGTGCACACGCATAAGGAAAAATATTACGAAAAACTTTACGAAAGGAGCAACATAGCATACTCTGCTACACAAGGTATTTTCTCTCCACAAGGTAGAAAATGAACTCCTAAATCACAATCCCCAACCATTTCAGCAAGACAACAGACCACTTTCCATAGTTAGTTATCAGAGTAAAATTCAAACGTTAGTCTTTACCAATTTACATCAGGACATGCATCTAATATTCCTCCCCCTTTTCTAAAACAGACACAGCAAACTGTACAGAAAACCTGTCTGTTATATACAATTATAAAGATAAATATATAAATATCGATTATCAATGGAATTTTCTTCTACTAATACAATCCAGACAACTGAACAGTCCCTGAGATAGAACCAGTGACAAAATGAATTTCTATAGAAATGCGGTGGAAGGGTTACCGTTGGAGAATCAATATTCAACCTGCCTTGTTTCTTTTCTCAGTAGCAGCTTCCCAGAAAAACCAGATACTTTCTGCTTCAAGGTCCCGTGCAGGTATATCTTCTCTGAAACCAATACAAATTCAGTAATCTTAAAAAATCCACACAATGTTTTCTTTCATAGTTGAGCACACTGAATAACATGGGCAGGTATGCAGAATACAAAGGCCAGGCTTTCAACAATGTCCAAAGATTGACAATTAGGATGAGTTTTTCAACTTGTCATTTAACTTATTTTTTTCTTCTTTCTTTTGGAGGAAAAGGGTTATGCACATGAATGCCAGCAATTAAACACGGAGAGCATCAAAGGAAGTTATTGGTGTAATCTAGTCAAAGATAATGTTCTCAAATATCTATAAACTTTTTCAACCTACTTGTTCAAATATCCAACAGTAGAAGGTTTAAAAATAAAACAGTCCCCAGATAAGTTTCCAAATCAGCAAAATAATTTACCCTGTTTAGTTTGGTTTACCATACAAAGAGCATATTTTCGACTGATCAGCATACTAATTGAATCAAGTTATGTTTCACCATTGTTATGAAAACATAGATCGGTTTGCGATTTTTAAAACCATATTTTGTTCTCATACTAAATTTACAGATTACTCATATGACATCTTTTGAGGAGACTATAAACATCAATGAACTGTCAGGGCTCACCGTTTGATAGGGCTGTTCCACGCCGCCAATGAAAGCATGATGTAGATGAATGCCATTTCAACTAACAATACAATCAGTAGGCTTCAACTGCAACTCAAAGAAAAATGCTTGTTTCTCCTTCGATAAGTGAATAATTGTGCTAGAAGACAGGGTTACCATCATTATCTCAGTTTGCCATAAAATGCTGTAGATATCAACTTCTCAATGAATCCTGAAAGTAAGTTTCAATTCCATCTAATTTGAGCCTGAAACTATTGAGTAAACCCGTCGCCTGACAGACCTTGGCTGGCGAGGAAATGAGAAAGGGCCATTTAACTTTTTCCTATTGTCTATCCTGTTAGACCTGGCTTCATCATTCATCCCTGTAAAGTAATGCGTGCGTTTGATTGTCAGCCTAAGCAGATAATAATAAAATAAGACATGCACAAATGTTTCACTCTTTCCGTTGACGGATTTAGTCATACTAAGCAGAAATGTTTGTGTCAAACAAAGAAAGATGAAATCTGTAAATTCACAATCCAAAAGTAGTATAAACAACTTTGAGAGAAAATACAGTACTAATTAGACGTTTCTACCTTCATTTGATCTACAATCATTAATTAAATCCAACCCCTTTGAAACAGCCGACTGAGCAATAGTATCAACACTACTGCCAATACTCTCGCCATTGCAGCCAAGCCTAAGAGAAATCCAATCCTCAGTATGGGTACTGTTTGATATGGGGCGACAGTGTCGTAAATCAGTTTCTTCCGAGGTTCCAACCGGTTGAGGAGAAAGGAAATTTTGTAGAGAGGGGTCCGCACTTACTAATGCAAAGGGATTATCAACCAGGTCATCATCTTCATTAATATTGGTACTGAAAATAGAAGAATCAGGAACCTGTCCGCTGGAGTTCATGGTTGACTCTGAAGCTAATGTGTAACTGTTCATGGTTGACTTTGAAGCTAATGTGTAACTGTTCATAGGTCCAGAGCATGTGACCCCAGAACGCTCCAAATCAATAAGAACATCTGAGACATCAGAATCTTCACCAAACAGTTGGAACCTTGAACCTGCTTGGGTACCAGAAGAATATGCCCAGTCAGACATTCCAACATCTTTCCCACAGTCACTGAAGAGATCCAAACAAGAACTTATACCAGAATCAGGAACATGGTTTTCCAGATATGATTGTTCGATACTTGGGGGGGCAGACAAAGCCCCACAATCATTCAGGAGACAAGATTTGTAATCTGTATGAGAAGAAACCAAATTAACATCCTCTTCTTCTGAATCACTGACAATAATGATGTCTGGCTCCCCTATTGGTCCACAACTTTGATTTTCAGTTCTAAGAATTGAATTAAAATTGTGATGAATAGAATTGATCTCATTTCCATTACTGGCAGGGATAGAATCATATCTACCATAATCCTGATTAATACTTGGGTTTTCATCATCTCTACCGCTTCCACTGGCACTACTGCTCAATGTTATGACCATCTGACAAAAGTTTTCTAAATCTTCCTCTTTTGGATTTAGCAAGGGGAGATGCTCGTGTTCACTTGCCTCTATGTTCCCTCCTTCTGTCCCATTTTCAAGATTAGGATTTCCTGACTTTTCAAGCTTATTAATCTGCCTCCAGGTCTCTGAGTTGGATATGACTTCATTCGTATCTCCATGAAGTGAGCCATCAGGGAAATGCCATTTTCCAAGATCACTAAGCTCATCTTTGGTCTTAACAGTCCAAGAACCATCAGGCTTCACCTCAATGTCAGTTACATCTTCTCCACAGTGCTGCATCTGTCCCATGAGAATTTTTATTTTTTTATTAGTATTTTTTTTTTTTGAGAGAGAGAGAGAGAAAGAAATGGATTTAAACTTCATTTCTACTTATATAATTTTTTACACTAATTAGATCAGGATATAAACAGAACGTAATACCATAGTTGTGATTCGATTGAAATACGGATCAATAATGATATCTTCAAGGGAATAGTTCTTGAGACAGATGGGACACTGCCACTGCAAGCATCAAAAGCCTTGCTCATATCTATGCCTTTGAAATTTCAAAACTGGAAAAATCATAAATATGATTATTACTTGCCTTCCTTGAACGCTGATTAAGCTGCACAAAAGTTTCAAGATCAAAACATCCCATGTGAACACATGGTTTGAATCTGCCAGCGACCTTTATTCTGGAGCCACTCATCTTACAGTTACAAGTAGATATGAAGATATCATGTTAGCAGTTCAATTAACAAATTTCGGAAATAGAAATCAAGCTCAGAAGTAAACATGTGAGCAATATGCCTAATAATGATGACAGTATAAACTAGACAAAGTTAAACAAACATCAAAGATGATAACAAAAAGCATACACTGTCAAAACATTGGAAGGCACTAAACTGACGTTTGCATAGAGCCTGAGTAACATATATGGTATGAGGCCTTGTGTTGTGGGGAAGCAAACCTGGGAGATTTGTTCTGTTCAGATGCTTTGTCACAGCCTAGGTTCAACCTAATATATGGCTCATTCCCTCGTCACCATGGACATAAGCTCCATACACCTTAGGTTATCACCTTTGCAAGGCCCCTTGTTTTATTGGAATAAAAGTGGACAATGAACCTCTATTACAACTGGGTACTTCCAAACTAGGACTAGAGGGAAAAAAAAAAAGAAGAAACACCCTTCCAAACTAGACAATATACATGGCTGGTACACTATATATGACCTAACAT